GAAGTCATGTACAAAGTACTAGTAACGTTAGTAGCAATAAATATTAGAGTACTGATTTACAAAAGTCTAACTGCCCTAAGAAGTGTAAAGTATATGACGATAATGCTTCAAATAAGCCTTGCCCCCAAAAGCAGAAAAGTTGATATAGACAGTAGTACTGACAATACTGCTTTGGTAATGCCTCGCTCAAAAAAAGATGATAAATTAATTGTTTCAATTAATTTGAAAGACCTAAAACCAAATTTAATGTCAAAGATGATGATAGTTGTAGTAGTCTCATTGTATCTATAAAACTCTCAAACATTAAATGTAAACCAAAAGATGATAAAACAAGTGTATTGTAAAAAATGACCACCTTAATAGTAGTCTGATTGTATCTATAAATCCGTCAAGCATTAAATTAAAGTAATCGAAAAAAGATGATGTCATCTTTACTTATGAAGAGCCTCCCAACCCAGATATTGTGAGAAGGAGACAATGGGATTATGTTTACTACCCTGGTAATGAAGAAATTCAAAGAAGGTGGTGTGAGATTTTAAACTTTAAGTTTGTAACAGCTGCTAGAATCTTACCTGGTAGTCGAACAACACCATTGTCAGATGAAAGAGTTCCTAATAGTACTCTTGATGTCCCAGGTGATGGGAACTGTTTATTTTATGCCCTTTCATATCTTATTACTGGGTCCCTGTCTCAGCATTACGAATTACGTAAAGCAATTGTTAGTAATATGCCAAACTTTGAAGAACTGTTTAATAGTTCATTAAGTGCAATCAGATATTCAAGCATACATGATTACATAAATAAGTCCAAAATGTATAGAAATTATGTGTGGGCCACCGACACAGAGATTATTACACTAACTGCAATATTAGGTACAACAAGTATTCATATTCACTAACTCCTACTTCTGTTGGCTGGGCTAGATATGGAACCCAAACTTAATATGGCATTCCTTGTGATGCTAATACACCTGCTTTGTATTTGAAGCATGTTAGTACTAATCATTTCCAAGCAGTTAAGTCTATTAATATTTCTTAAGCATTGATTGTTGATGGAAGTGGGTATGGTGAGTGGGAGGTCCATCATCTTAAAAACATTGGTTGTTTAATGTGACTTGTATTTCACTGCATGTGTGTGAAAACCATTGGTTTATCCATCCAGTATTGCTCAGTATGAATTTGATCTTAACTTCATGTAGGAAGTGAGAGAAATCAATGTATAACAGTGAATATTGAATACTAAATGCTATTATAATGGACAGGGAGAGGGTGTGAAAGAGGTGTAGTGTTCATTAGAGTTTAGCATTGATTCAAATTTGTGTGACTATCATTCATGTAGCACAGAGGCTTAGGAAGGGAGGAAGATGTCATTATCAAATGTGGATCTTGTTTGTGGCTTGTACTACATGTTTATTACAAATATCAGGTGCTTATGGATCTGGATGCTGCTGAAAAATTTTGAAGGACAAGAAAAATTTGAGAGTACCATATAAAGTTGTCATTATACTTGTACGTATAGTATCATTCAAGCAGTGATTTAGTACATATATTAATGATCATCATACATGTTAATGCTGCCATCAATGCTGTGCGCATTACGTGTATGTAAATGCTTGCCAGCTGATGTTGCACATAATGCTGCCATCAATGCTGTGCGCATTATTAAGTTAATGCTTGCCGGCAGATGTTGTGCATTTGAATGATGCTGCCATTAATGCTGTGCGCATAATAAATGCTTGCCAGCTGATGTTGCTCATCTTTTGTTGATGATTGTTGTAACATGTCCATCTTCTCATTAAGAAAAAAATATTGTTTGTACTTAAAAAATTCTTTATGTACACAATGTTATTGTATATTAAGTAGTTCATGAAAGTATCTTAACTGAGGATAGCATTAGTAAGCAATATTATGTCTAAAATGCATGCATGCACATACATGTATGATCCAATCAAAAACATTGTAGCTGCTAACATTATCATTATCATTATTATTATTATTGTCACATTCAAATTTTATACAGGTACTTATTTGGCACAAGGACTACAATGTGGTGTTAAAGAGTGAGGTCTGACTTGGAGTGAGACTCAAAAGTATGTTTGTGACAAACATAACGTATAACATGCATATACATGTACATGTTTATCACAGTGTATTGTACATGAAGTGGATTATTGGTACTTGTAGTGTTTAATGATTATCATGCATGCAATTTCTTCCTTTCATACTTTGATTTATAGTACGTATAATGGGAGTTACAAGGAATACAAAAGTTGATGTGATTGGTAATAGTTTGTTCACCATTACTGTTTGTGCTTTTGTTATTACTAGCCTGTAAGTTTACATTGCTTGCCTTTGACATGTTTCTATTCCTATTGCTTTACAGGTAATTACAGCTGGATATGATTTGATGATTCAGCAATAGTTTTGCTTGATATTGGAAAGTGCAATCATAATTAAAGGCTATTCTGGATTTAGGTTGTTGTAACTAAATTAATCTTTTATTATATGTAACTTAGTGTTTTGTTGTAGCTCCTTGATCAGTAGTTTATCACACTGTAGGAGGCACCAGTTTTTAGCTGAATTGGTTTCACATTATCGTAACCTTAGCAATGAAATACGTAATAAGATAGTATTGGGAGTTTACAAAGTGCCTTACATGTATTTATTTTGTTATAGGTTATTATTCAAGGTTACATGTATAATTAATTCATAATTAGTCATTAATTTATTTTGGCCACAGTAAGTAGTGTATTTACTTGTAATTATAAATGATGTATAATATATATATATATTATTGTAGGAAGATGGAATCTCAAGTATTGAAGCATTTTGCCTTGCAGAACAATTCATCATTTGAACATTATACTATTATAATTTCTATTTCTGGTTTTTGCGCTGCAAAATAATTGACATTTTTTTGTTAGAAATGATATATTTATATACATTAAAAAAGTCCTATTTAATAAAAATTATAGTTTTTAGTCACATTTTCTCCAGGACCTCCACCATTTCTGCCCCTGCCACGTCATCTTGGGGCTCTAGGTAAGTTCATGTACCAAAATGAAAAAGAGATTACTATTATAGAGTATTGGTAACACCTTAAAATTTGCCTATTTAGGCTCCTGAGTTGCCTTAGAATTTGCAGCCTCTGCTGTTGCAGAGCTGCAATGCCTAAGGTAGCATGAGGTGGTGGAGGGGCTGCCAATGGAGGAACAGGGATCAGAGGTGGTGGAGGACCTCCATGAACACCAGCAACTGGTGCTGGTGGAAGACCTCCATGACCACCAGCAACTGGTGCTGGTGGAAGACTTCCATGATCACCAGCAACTGCCGCTGGTGGAAGACCTCCATGACCACCAGCAACTGGTGCTGGTGGAGGACCTGCATGGGCTCCTCCCGCAGCAACTGGTGGTCGTTGTGGTGGTGGTGGCGGAGGAGGACCTCCATGGCCTCCACTGGCAGCAAATGGTAGTGGTGGTGGTGGTGGAGGACCTCCATGGCCTGCACCGGCAGCAACTGGTGCTGGTGGAAGACCTCCATGACCACCAGCAACTGGTGCTGGTGGAAGACTTCCATGACCACCAGCAACTGGCGCTGGTGGAAGACCTCCATGACCACCAGCAACTGGTGCTGGTGGAGGACCTCCGTGGGCTCCTCCAGCAACAACTGGTGGTCGTTGTGGTGGTGGAGGAGGAGGACCTGTATGGCCTCCACTGGCAGCAAATGGTAGTGGTGGTGGAGGACCTCCATGGCCTGCACCGGCAGCAACTGGTGCTGGTGGAAGACCTCCATGACCACCAGCAACTGGTGCTGGTGGAAGACTTCCATGACCACCATCAACTGGTGCT